TTTCTGTATTATTTTAGCAGAGACTGTGCAACATTGGAAGGAGAAGCACCACAGCTGCTCATGCAAACTACCAGCAGAAACACTCAAACATGCATGCTGCACATAGGTAAGATGCATATGTGATTAAGGCCAAGAGTTGCTTCAACAGGTAAAAGCAGCTGTAACTACTCCTGCCTGAGAAATAAATCTACATGGCATGAAACAGCACTTCACAAATATCTGATCCAATCCAATGAGCTGATGGATAAGAAATAGGCGTGTTAAGTAGACCGGACAGAGTACTAAGTTGATGAAGACAAGCTCCATTATTAAATCTGGCTTATTTCTAGTTTGATTTGTTTGTGGTTGTCCTGGGTCCAGCCGTAGCAGTCATTTTTCTCCTTCTTAGTAACTGGCACAGTGCTGTGGTTTTGACTTTCAGCCTGGGAACAGCGCTTATTACACCAATGTTTTTAGCTGCTGCTTAGTAATGTTTAGTCTGACCAAGGAATTTCTGAGTCTCATGCTCTGCCAGGGAGAAGGGGAAGCCGGGAGGAAGCAGAGACAGGACACTTGACCCAAACAACCAAAGAGGTATTCCATACCACAGCACGTCATGCCCAGTATATAAACTGGGGGCAGTTACCCAGAAGGGCTAGCTCATTGCTCGGTTGGGCGGGGTATCGGTTGGCGGTTGTATTCTCTTCACTTGTTATCTCCCTTATCACTATCATCATTGGTGGTAGCAGTAGTGGTTTGTGTTATACCTTAGTTACTGGACTGTTCTTATCTCAACCCATGGGAGTTACATTCGTTCGATTCTCCTCCCCATTCCTCTGGGAGCAGGGTGGGGGGGAAGGGAAGGAGTGAGACTGCGTGGTTCTGATTTATGGCTGGGCTTAAACCACAACAGTGGTCAAGCATTGCCATATACTGAAATAAGAGATTACATATCATTTAGCATCGTTAAGCACACTTAAAAAAAAAAACAACTTTCAGGGCAACTTTATTGGGGTAGATTGAAAGCCTTTTACATTGTGCAACCAACCACAGAGAGATTAGTGTAGACAGTCCACTCCCCATTAGTTCTTTCAGTAAGTTTAAAAAGGGACAGCGATTTTTTGCAAGGATAAGGATAGGTGAGCTAATGTTGCACAAATATTTCCCATTGCTGCCACCTCATAAACAGCATCCACTGTTCTCTCTTTTGGACACTGCAGTTCATGGAAGATGTGAACCAGCTGCTTCATTTCCAGAATGCAATGTCTTACATGCCTACACCATAAGAGTACTAGGAAAGAAATAGGGGCAGCTCTGATTAGACAAGACTGAGGGGGAACACAGTAATCTTGAAATATATGGCAGATCTACAACAGAACAAAGCTTCCTACCATTCACTATAGATTAAGTGTAATAGGCTTAAAATCACTAAGTCTGAGATTTAGACTACAAATCAGGAAAAACAAAAGTAAAAACCAATCTACTAAAAAGGACAGTTAAACTTTGAACTAGATTTCTCAGCCTACCTAAACAATCTTCACATTGGATGTGAAAGAATCATCACAACAATGCTAATATATTTGATCAGTGGGTTTAATATGTATCTTCACAAAACTATGTTTTCTGAGTTTAGAAAGATGAGGGGCCTTTGGACTCAGCACAGAGCACTTGCATTTGTTCTGAATAGAAATCCACCTAGCCATGCATCTTTTCTTGGATAGTGGCCAAAGCAGGTTCAAGAGAGTAAAAACAGTGTGAACATATTGCACTTTCCCTGCATGATATCCAGGTTTTGACAAAAAGCTGTGGGAGAATTAGAATTCGTTCATAAGAAAAGAGTAATTTCTACAATGTACAATCCGGTTGCATGGCTGTTGAACTGACAATTCAACAGTTTAAAACATGAAAAATTAAAAGCTTGGGTGAGAACATTTATTGTTTCATCTTCCAGGTTTATGGATCAGGTTAGGATCAGGATTAGGGAAGAAGATCAATAAACAAAGTGTCCCTTTGAAATGATGGTTCAAAAAGATCTGTCATTTGGTTTAGAATCATAGAATCATAGAAGTGTAGAATCATAGAATAGTTAGGGTTGGAAAGAACCTTAAGATCATCCAGTTGCAAGCCCCCCCTGCCATGGGCAGACACCTCACGCTAAACCATGACACCCAAGGCTCTGTCCAACCCAGCCTTGAACACCACCAGGGATGGAGCATTCACAACTTACTTAGGCAACCCATTCCAGTGCCTCACCACCCTCACAGTAAAGAACTTCCTTATATCTAATCTAAACTTCCCCTGTTTAAGTTTGAACCTGTTTCCCCTTGTCCTATCACTACAATCCCTACTGAAGAATCCAAATTTTGACCTCAGATTATGCCCTTACCATATACACAATCACAGATTATCTCAAGTTGGAAGGGATACATAAGGATCCTTGAGTGCAACTCCCTGCTCCTTGCAGAACTACCAAAAAAATAAACCATATGACTAAGAGTGTCGAGATTCTCCTTGTCTGATGGACTTCGTGCTATGACCACTTCCCCAGGGATCCTGTTCCAGTGATCAACCACCTTTTCCTCATTTCCAGTCTGAACTTCCCCTGATGCAGCTTCATTCTATTTCCTTGTGTTCTGTTGCTGGTCACCAGAGAGAGATGAGCACCTTGTCTTCTGCAGCCCCTCTTGAGGAAGACTTAGACTGTGATGAGGTCACCCTCAGCCTTCTTTAAGCTGAACAGACGAAGTGACCTCAGCTGCTTCTTGGAAGTCTTGCCCTTCAGAACCTTCTCCATCTTGGTCTCTGTCTTGGCTCTGGACACTCCTAACAGCTTGAGGTACAAAACTGTACATGATACTTGAGCTGGGCCACACCACTGCAAGATACACGACAAACACTTCCCTCAACCAGCTAGGTATGCAGTGCTTGATGCACCCCCACAGTTGGTCCTTTTGGCTGCCAGGGCACACTGCTGACTCATATTCAAATTGCCATCAACGCAGACTTCCAGATATCTTTCTGCAGGACTGCTCTCCAGCCTCTCATCACCCACTTTGTATGTATAATCAGGATTAGTCCATCCCAGGTGGAGAATTCTGCACTTGCTCTTGCTAAATTTCGTCAGTTTGGTGACTGCCCAGCTCTCTGGTCTATCCAGATTTCTTTGTAAGACCTCTCTACCTTCAAGGGAATCCACAGCTCTTCTCAGTCTACTGTCATCAGTGAACTTACTTGTGCATATTTGATTCTTGCATCCAGATCATTTATAAAAACATACATATTGTATATTGTGCAAAGTATATTGTCATAAGCATTCAAAAGGCTTATGCCAAAAGCCTTTTGGCTCATACTCTTCCAATGGAAGAAAGCAGGAAATCACAATCAAGACTTCATAATGTAAGGACTTTATTTGTATCTTTTAATAAAATTTTAAACTTATCCATGCATCCTGATAATATTAAGAAATCTTCCCATTTTACTGTGTCTTATAATGAAAATGCTTCAAGATGTAAGCTAAACTGAGTGCAAGCCACTTGGAATAGATGAGCAACTATGAACAGAAGAAAATTACGCAAAAGTCTCATCAGAAGATGGCACCGCAGAGATCTGGGTCTGTTCTTCAGGGGTTTAGCAGTTAACAACTTGAAACATCACCAGTAGTACCATGAGACAAGAAGCCTGTAGCAAACAGCATCTATTCTAAAACTATGAAGCAGTCCAGCCACACTGGGTCTTTAAAGACCTGAATCTTTCAGCTGTTCTTTAGATTTGAGTCCTTCCCCAGCTCTTACTGGTCAACAGAAAAAATAGAAATAGCTCCCCCAAAAATATATTAAAAAAACACCAACAGAAGTCCAAAACTAAATAATAGCTATACCATGATAAATTTCATATTGCAAAAATTGTAAAGGTATCTTTAAAAACCTTTTTTCTTTAAATTTTCCAAGATTTTTCTCCATATTCCATTTCTGTCCCCAGGAATTCAAATTATTGAAAAAATCTAGCCTCTCCCCCAGGTATTTCCCATTAAACTTAGGGTATCTCACATCTAGAAGGAGTTTATTTCAGCAGATCAGCTCCCATTCTTTACTGGCCTATTAAGATCTTGACTCCAATTGTTACTAGGGCAAGTGAACAAGCTTCAGTACAGCAAATCAGCTGAGACAGGGTTAAAAAACTATACAGCAGAGCTCCTCCTTGCCCCACCACTATAGAAATAACCTTAAAAAAAAATAAGGTATTCCAATTTTGTTGAATCACCAAAAGGGGACTGAAGAATAAGGAAATATAATGCCTCTTTCCCTGCAGCCAGTAACACATTAACTTTGAGGAAACATAGCCAGCCCAACCAATATTGCTGTATTTATGCCTTGATAACTAGATACATACAGAATTTGCAATACATTTTCAGTCATTTTTATTAACTAGAATTTGAACATTCTGTCTGTATTATTGAGATTCCTGTGGAAATTACAACACATTTTAAAAAAATTAGGTTTCTAGGTCACAAGGCTTATTCTATTTGTTTTTATAGCAGTAGCTAAAAAATAAATGTAACTGCTATATGCCAACTACATTCACAGGAGTATTACCACACCTTTCACAGTAACAGCTGCCTCTGATGTCACTTTTTCATTTTAGAGTTACAGCAAATTTAGTATTTGACCTAGTTTAAAGAGTGTAAAAGTAAACAAGGCTACCTAAAGGTGCTGTTCCACCATAGGTCTGAATGCTGACACCATGTGGACTACAACAGCATCACCCTAAGGTCAGCAGCAACATCTGTTCATTCAAGTTGAAAATGGATGTCCCAGATTCACTCAACAGTTATAACTGGCAGTCTTAACAGCAAGAAGATGCTGCAGTACTGTGTTTTATAAGATTATATTAATATCCTTAAAATCTATGATGTTGAAGTACCACACTGAAGACTAGGAACACTGGAAACAATTTTTATTTGTTCACTGAAGTTTACATAAAACATATTAATTCAGTTTAAAAAAAGTCTCAATGCAAAAGGCAGTAGTTTGGCTTTTTATTTGTAAAGGATAAAGCATCTCCTGAACTAAAAGCAAGTTCTAACAATTCTGAAGGGTCCACAGATGCTATGTTCACTTACAATTTAATATCAGCAAAAAAAATATGTCAACATTCCAGGTAACAGTAGAAAAAGTGTATACCACACTTATGGCATACAAGATTTGTAACAAGCAAAAAAATACCCTGTTTTAAAAGTAATCTCCCTTCCAAATAGGTTTTCATTTTAGTGCACTCTCCCTCTGTAGGCTTTACATTTAGAATCCTTTATATACAAAAAGGTACAACAAATTGGTACAGTATTTATTGCAACAAATTAAGGATGCTATAATATACACAAATTAAATTAGTCCCCCCAGTTTGCACACCCTCTTGCTTCTTATTCCTTGCATGAAGCAGTCTCCTTCTCTGGTTCTAAGATTAAGCTCTTTCACTGAAAGGCACGTACTTCTCTACAACAGAAGGAACAGATGCATTAATCTGAAATACCCTGTTTCAAGAGGAACTTTAGCCTACATTTTTGAAAATCAAACATTACAAAAACCCCACTGAGTTATAACATTGTATTATTAAATTTGCATGTAAAAACTCAGAGTTACCATATGACTTTAAACTGAAGTGCCATAAAACTCCATTGATTTAAACTTCTCAAACAGACAGCTCACTTGCAAAAAAACTGTGTTTTTACCGTACTGGATATATTTTTAAGCTTCCAAGGCTCCCCCATTCCTGTTCAAACTTTGGTAACTGTTGATAGCAACCCATAACTAGTAGGCTATCAAAAACTGAGTAAGTGCTTTTCCTTGTGCCTTGCAGTGCAGCAAGTAGTTTGCGTGTAACATGATTTAATGAGAATTGCAATGTATATTAGTGTGATATGACTTTCAAAAATAATAGAACAATATACTTCAGTTGACACATAGGTAAAGCTGCATGGTGAGAAACCAAAGGTTAGAATTTAAAACTTTGATATTTAATAGTATGCTATTGAACAAAATGGCTAAAACATCCCATCCAGGTAAGCTGCCCAAACTGAAGAGGCACATAGGCTAGTTACATGGATGATGACAACAGTGAGAGTACACTTAAATGTTACAACCAAGAGCACAGGTCTTTTTTTCATATAGCCCTGGAAAAAAACAGCAACAGTGGAAGTAATCATCAGGACACCAGGATAGTAACACCGCTATGCTGATTTCAGGAAAGAAGTCAGTTTCTCTGCCTAGCCTTGGAAAGGGTCAAACAGTCTTACCAGCTAAAAACAAGCCTGTAGGGATTTCTAACATGCACATACTGTGCTGTAGAGTATTACTTTGAAAACAACTTGATTATTTTAGTCAAGAAAAATGAAAGCAGAGTGGATACAATTGCAGTTTATTAACAGGTCACAAAGAAAGAAGGAAAAAACACATCTGTTTTCTATAGAACAATACTTAGTAATTTTTTGTCCATAACAAATGTATATGAACCTACCAGAACATGCAGATTCCTGTAAATGTGTTTAGGTTTTTTTTTTCCTTCCATTATGAGTTATGAAGGTAAGAAACTTAAACTGAATAAGCTGCTGTTGACTGTAGTTAAGCAAAACTGCAACTTCGATTTACTTAACAAAGGACTAAAATGAAAAACCATTAAAGGCCACTCTTCCTTGTTTCCTAATTAGTAGCTCCAAGTATGATTGCATATTTATGCTACCTTAAGAAAACCAACCAACCATACCTCTAAATTACTGCAAATATCATGACAAATGTAATGATATCTCCTGAGAGTATATGAGTATCATTATCATCAAGTATCCTCAGTGACTCTTGGATTACTTATGCATTTTGTATTCCCTTTGGTCATTCTTGGTTAAGAAGTGACATGAAGACTGATTACTAAGCTTCAGTCCAGATGCAAAAGACTTAGTTGAAACAAGGAGAAAAAAATTAACTGAAAGAAACACATTCCCAATTAAGGATTTAAAAAAAAAAAAAAAAAAAAAAGAAAAAAGCACTCTACATTAATTTCTGAACTTCCCTCCCAGCAATGATGTTGTTTTGTGTTTTGCAATGTTTGGACAGTATTTGATAATGCTGCTCTGTAGAGATTTGTGGAGTGCATCCACATTGTTTAGCACTGTCTTCCTCCTACACAGTGTTTCAAGATAAAAAGGAACTTAAAAAACTTTGAGAGCTTCTCCCCATAAAAGACACAGCAAAATCTTAATACATATAAACAGAGTATATCCATGTTATTGACTAAACATAACTGAAGTCTCTGTTTTCTGAAGCTTCTAACATGATGACTTTGATAATTTAACAACTTACTATGCTTTCTGAGCTATCCTGAAATAATAATAACATCTTCTTTCTTTATTATCAATAGTTATTCTCCTCTAAAGGTATTACTTCTTATCTGCTTAGTCAGTTCTCTTCAGCAAGTTAACAGAAACGTGTTGAAATTAGGTTTGGTTAGATCACACAGTTACACCAATATAATTACTTTTCTTGCAGTTTGACTGAGAGGTTGACATTATCATCTCTTCTGTGAGAAACATAAAATTTTAGGTCATCTTGGAGCCCTATAAATACAGGTCTGCCTATACCACAAGTTACATCACTCTATGTATTTACTCCAGACTATGTCATCTTCAAGCACTACAAGTCACATCAATCTCCAGTTATTCTGGGCTATGTGGACTTGGATCAGAACATCAGGTATTGCTTTTTCAACCAAATCTGATCTTCTTAAAATCAAATACTACTCATCTAGCAGTTCTTTCACCAACAAGATACCACAGTGAGTGAAGAATTGTATTAAATGAATACTTGATGTATCTTACAATACCTATGCCATCAGGTAAATAAAACACTAATACTGTATTCAAACTGTTTGTATTATATATCATTCAAAAGACTATTTCTGAAACAGCCTGGATCAATAATCTACCTTCAAACTACCTGGTGCAGCTGAACTAAACAATGATTTACCATAGCACTTCAATTTGAAGAGAAGATGAGTATTTGGAATTTAGGACAGGGTAGAGGGGTTTTCTGTGGGTTTTTTTGTTTTGTTGGTTGTTTTTTTTTCAAAATACAGCACTAACAATGTGATTTTTTTTTTTGGTCATCATAGTTAAGGGCAAGCGCTGCTGTCTATGGTTATGAAGAGTTTGCTTTAATGCAAGTTAATTTCTTAATCATAGTAATTTCTACCACATAACCATAGAAAGTGCAGTGGCAAAAAAGATTTATCTTTGGACATAATTTGAAAAAATACATACTGGGAGCAGAGACAGGACAATCCATTAAACAATCATTTCAACGAATTTCCAATATAAACTTTGAAAGGGAATGAATAGAATATGCTTTACCTGATTGAATAACCACAATAGAAATATATAGGGTCCTTGGTACAGCCCTATTTAGACTTTAGAAGTTCTCAGGCTCATCTCTTAAGCCAGGCAATCAACAGGCATATATATACACCGCAACATCACTCTACCATGTTTGTACGGCAAAAAATAAAAAAAACACTTCATCTTAAGTATACTTCCTTTTCTTACTGTTTTCACTTTTGTTTCACCCTTCTACATTCTCTCAGGGACAATAATTAAATATCCAAGAATGAAATAAATGAAATATGTAAAGCAGGTAAGAAAGTTATGGAGTACTTTGGGAACTCCACTACTAAGACTCCAATTGCAAAGTGGATTTATAACAGTTTAAAAGTCCTATGCATATTAGAATGTTCTACAATAACATACCTGAATTTATTTTTTTCTTCAGTTATAGTGTTTAGAAATGCACAGAAAAAAAACAAAACAAAACATTAGAAATCCACCCTCTGAAAACCTCTGATACTATTTTAGTCAACTTTCCCTCTAGGGTTTTCACTGCTTCTATTTTAAGGTATGCAAATAAAGAAAAAAAAAAAAAAAAGAGAAAGGTAAAAGCTAGTTGCTGACTTCAACACAAGCTTCAGTCACGAGACCGTATTTGTAACAAAAATATCCCACCTTCCCCTCCATTTCTCTGGAACTCACATGCTGAAGACAAATGGTGTTTATCTTCTTGCCCACTAAATTCCTATCCATTTAAAATTCAAGTGATCTTGACATCCCTTCTCTAACTACATGCATATGAGACACAGTAGTGAGCTTTCTCAGTGAAACTGCTTATCATCCATACTCCACCGCTGTTGCTAGAAGTAACTTTGACTTCTATATACAAACCTTCGAGGATGACTGGCATCAAATAGTGTTGTATCATCATCATCATCATCTTGCTCTAATGGGGTCAGCTCCATGTTTTCTGTGTTTGTATCCAAAACGCCATACCTTCGGGTTTTTCTGCTTCGCCTTCTGATCCTGAAATGTATTTTAAAACACTTAAGTTCTATAAATTCTTCTCGACTTTCTATTCCCACAATGTATGAAAACTATCCCTTAAAATATAATTATATTGATACTTGTCATAAATTTCTAGAAAAACATAGTATATGTAAAGTGTACACACTTAGGTGTAAGAAATTCAGAGATCAAACAATTCTAAGTGCCAAGAGCTAACTTGAAATATTTAAGGCCAGTATGTTATTTGTAGTTTTGAGTAGAATTACTGTAGTGGATACAAAAAGCCTAAACAAGCACTTCATAGCTAAATGCAAGAGCCAGTGAAAAATGGCCATTTAAAAGTATGCAAAAGCATACTTTTAGCAGATTCTACAATAAGCAACTGGCTCTAGGACAAAAGCACTCCCAGATATTCTAGACGAGAAATTAATCTGAACACAAAATAAGAAATGAAGTCAAGGAAGTTCATGCTATTTATATATTCAAAATTCCTGTTATCTCATGATATACTTTACTTTTTTACTTAATGGTGTAAAAAGGAAAGTGAGTCTCTGAGAATAACCTAAGACAGTCACAGCAAATGTCCAGATTGCCGGTAATGAAAAAAAAAAAAAAATCTTATCAGAAAGCTGGCACAAATTTCTAGGTTCAAATGAATGCTGCTCAAAAGGGGATAAAAGAAATTGTAATGTGAAAACTTTCTCTATATAGAGATTAGACAAAAGACTAAGGCTAAACGAATAATGGAGATGCTTATGCAACATACATGGACATGGACAGTGGGATCGAGTGAGCCCTCACCAAGTTTGCTGATGACACCGAGCTGTGTGATGCAGTTGGCACACTTGAAGGAAGGGATGGGATGAGATTGGATGATATCCAGAGGGACCACATGTGAGAAGTAGGCCAATGCCAACTTCATGAAATTCAACAAGGCCAAGGGCAAAGTCCTACAGCTGGGCCAGGGCAATCGCAGGCAGAGCTACAGGTTGAGGAGAAGAGATTTAGTGCAGCCCTGTGGAGAAGGTCTTGGGGATGCTGGGTGACGAGAAACTGAACATGATACCGCTTCAGTGTGCAGTTGCAGACAGATACCACCCATGTCCTGGCCTGCATCAAAAGGTGCGTGACCAGCAGGTTGAAGGAGGTGATCCTGCTCATCCACTTTGCTCTCATGAGACCCCACTTGGAGTATTGGAATTCTGGTGTCCTGTTGTGGTTTAAGCCCAGCCCAGCCAGTAACTCATGCAGTAACCATGCAGCAGTAACCATGCAGCCACCCACTCACTCCTCTTTCTTCCTCCCCTGCTCCTGAAGGGATGCAGAAGAGAACCCCTCCTCACTGGGCAGAGCATGAGACTGAAAAAGTCTTGATCGGAATAAGCATTACTTAGCAATAACTAAAAACCTTAGTGTGCTACCAGCATTGTTCACAGGCTGAGGGATGCAGAAGAGAACCCCTCCTCACTGGGCAGAGCATGAGACTGAAAAAGTCTTGATCGGAATAAGCATTACTTAGCAATAACTAAAAACCTTAGTGTGCTACCAGCATTGTTCACAGGCTGAAGTCGAAAACACAGCACCGCACCAGCTACTAAGGAGAAAAATAACTGTTACAGCTGAACCCAGGACATGGGGTGCCCATGGGGCACCTCCCATATGAAGACAGGCTGAGAAAGTTGCGGCTATTCAGCCAGCAGAAAAGATGCTGAGTGGAGACCTCTTAGCATCTTAGATAGTAGATGAGAATTTCCTTCTCCAGTTCCTGCAATGAACTTTCTGTAATACTACTCAGAACTCCAAATCTTAGGAGGTACAGGAACACTGAGAAGTGCTCTTGTCCACTTTCACTTGCTTATGTCTTTTCCTTTAAGATACAGTATAATCAAAATATGGATTCTAAGAAAAATAAAGATCTAAGCCTGCTCAAGAACTACAGAACAATTGGGATATCCTGGCTTACTTGGACTGCATGTCTTAATAAGTGTCCACACGGACCACTGTCTCTCAACTATCTTTCTGGAATACATGACAAAGGTACTGAACATACACCAGTGTATCTAACTACAATGAAAAGTACAGAGAAAACTTGCTGCACACTGAATGTGCTTTATGCATCATCACAAACTGGGGCTCACCCAGAGGAGTTCACAGTTTGAGCATGATAGCAAGTAAAACTCCAAGAACAACAAAATACTGTGACAGACACTGCAATTAACTTAAAAATCATGTTGAGTTATGCAGTCAGTAGTTTCTATGAGAAATATAAAGGCAGATGACTGATAGCCCATGCTTTTTAAGGGACCTTTCCTTAAGAGGCGAAATGGAGAAGTTAAACAGTAAGCAGAAAAGAAATATGTTTACTGACCAAAAGAAGAGAGGAAAAATAACCCAGAGAATGTAAGTTCAGGATGTCAGTGGTGACATCCCCTTGAAGAGAGCATGGGGGAGCCAGACAAGGCCCGACAATGTGACCGTTCCGACAGAAGAACCAGACTGAGTGCCTTTCCCCCGGCATTACCCAGACACCTCACCCGGCGGCGCTGCCCGCAGCAGCGGAGCCAGACCCAGCTCACCGGCCCCCATGCGGGAGCCGAGGGGACCCCTGACGGCCAATACCGGCGGCCGGGCCCGGCCCCTCAGCGGCCCTGCGGGGACAGCAACACCTGCCCTGCCCGCCCGCCCGCTCCCCGCAGCACCGATGGAGCCGGCGCGGCCCCCCCCCCTCACCGCACGGTCCGGATTACGAAGTAGACGATGAGGGCGGCGCTGGCCAGCACCAGCACGGACAGCGCGCGCTGGGTCATCGGCTGGCCCTGCTCGGGCGGCGCCGACACCTCGGCCAAGCGACTGCTGCTGCTGCTTCGTGTGGCGGCCCCGCCGGCCACGTCGGTGGGGAGCGGGGAGGCGATGTTGGCACTCCGGCGGTGAAGGGCCGCCGCCGCAGCCTCCCCGCAAGGGGCGGCTAGCAGCAGCCCCGCCAGCAGCCAGGGCAGCGGCGGCGGCCACATGTCGGCCTCTGCTCCTCCCCGGCGCAGATTCCCACCACCGCACCCCGCCGCCCGCCGCGGCCTTAGCGCGGCCGGGCCCTGCCGTTGTCTGGCCGCCGGAAGCGGAAGCGCTGCTCGCCGGCCGCCCGCCGCTGCCATGGGAGCGCCTGGAGACCTGGAGTGGCTGTCGGTGCTGCTGGTTAAGGGCAGTTAAGCAGAAGGAGGGCTTGGAAAAATATTAGTGCTTGAAGGCTGAGACTACAGTTTTTCTTTCAGCTGAGGCCAAATGGTGGAAAGATCAAAGAGATCATCCAGCCCACCCCCTTGCCAGTGCAGAGCAACCTGGAGCAGGTCACACCGGAACATGTCCAGAGAGGGCGATTCCACAGCCCCACCCTGGGAGCCTGTTCCAGTGCTCTGCCACCCTCAACGTAAAGAAGTTCTTCCTCTCTGAGTATAATTTGCTGAGGTGAAACTTGTGTTTTAGTTTATTGCCATTGCTCCTTGTCCTCTCTGGGCACCACTGGAAAGCGCCTGGCCCCATCCTACTGGCACCTGCCTTTGAGATATATATATGCATTAGATATGTGCCCTCATTCTCTCTTCTCTAGACTAAACAGGCCCAGCTCCCACAGTCACTTCTCAGAGATACTCCAGGACCCTGATCATCCTTGTGGCCTCCACTGCACCCTCTCCAATAGCTCTTTGTCTTGTACTGAGGAGCCCAGAACTGGACACAATTCTCCAGATGTGGCCTCACCAGGGTCTAGCAGAGGGGCTGGATCACCTCCCTTGACCTGCTGGCCATGCTCTTCCTGAGGCGCCCCATGACACTCTTGACCCTCCTGGTCACAAGGGCAGACTGCAGGCTCATGGTCAACTTGTCACCAATACTCCCAGGTCCTTCTCAGCTGAACTGCTCCCTAGGAGTCAGCCCCAGCTTGTACTGGCACTCAGGGAAAGCGGTTGTGTCTCAGCGCACAACCAAAGGTCATGGAGCAGTCTGCGTTTTGAAGCTGGTGAACATTCATGGACATGTAAGACAGGTTAACACCTTGTACAAAGCCTGACATAGTGATTATTATGTTAGTGTCACATACTTTCCTTAAATAAAACGCTGTTCTGGTAGGATAGCCCTTTAACCATTAAAGTCAGTTGTTAATTTTCTTTGGCTTCTATTTTATGAACAGTAAACTACAGTGAGGCTTTCAGGGGTCAGTTGTGCTTAGAGAACATCTATGCACACTGACTGTCAGTTCTTTTTCATTTGTCGTGGTGTAAAAGGAAATGGATAAAAAGCCAAGGTAGCAAAGAAGCCTTGTGAGTTACATCAGAGTGATTTGTGTCAGCAACTCAGGCGTCCTAGTGATCATTGCACTTTGTGTGGAGATGGAATCCCTTGTGATCATTGTGCTGTGTGCAAAGGGTATGGTAAGTGTCCTTGTCAATACCACAGTGAGGAGGAAGAAGAAACAAGGGAATAATTCCCCTGGGTCAGCCGCAATATTGTGGAAAGAAATGTTTTGTTCATTGTTTAAATTGCATGAATGTTCTTAGAAAAGGGGGGAGTTAGGTAACTTAGAGATATGTCCTGTTACAGAATGTTGTAAAATCTGTGCGCTGAACAAATAAACGCATAAGGAGTGGAATTTATGGGGGCTAAGATGGTGGTCAGACTTGTGATAGACATAATAGTTCTTCACCTGGAGACAAGACCCCAGCAACAGGTGGAGAAGCCTGGGAAAAGAAGACAATAGGATTGGCTGAAACCCAAGACCAAAAAGTACAAGAGACTATCCCCAGAAGTTCCCCTCATGCTTCTTGGGCAGAGTGGAGACTCCCAAGTGCACTGAGCGCTGCTTGCTTATTGTCTCTCGATATTAATTATAATAAAAATCAATTAAAACAGGTTGGCAATATTAGGGTGTTATAACAGCCTTGTACAGTAATATTTCTGCCATTGAAGTAATGGGTAACAACCAGATTTTGTGTATGAGCAGACCTGTTTTGATATCACAGAGCCCTTTAATTTTCTGTTTATCAATCATACTGGATCATGTAAAATCACATATGGATAATTTCAACGGTGAAAATACACTATTAACAAGTTAATTGTTAGTTAACTTGGAAAACAAGGTCTTATGTCACACAAACAGGACAGAATTTGGAAAGGGTGAAACTGTTTTGTATAACGTTCCCTTTTAACTATCATTTGTATGTCTTCCCTTTGAAGAAACATTGTCCTTTTAATGAAAATATTGTTTCAGATACTTGGAACAGCAGTTTTTGTAGAAAGTGCTGTAGGAAGCATGTGAATAAGCTTTCTTGATAGCTTTTTCCGTCATTAATAACCTCTATAGAACTTGACTGATTGAGGTCTTCACCCCCGCAGTTTCTATCAGGCTTCTTCCCCATGAATTCCCTTGGGGTGTGTTTCTTCCTGACAAGTCCAAGTGTTTGGCTTCCAGCACAGTGGCTTATGACTGAAGAACACATTACATTCAAAAGTCAAGGTGGAATGCTTTTAGAACGTCAGTCACTGATGATAAACTGACCTAAAGAATTGTCAATGGTGCATGGGTTGTCTAAGATATTGTCGTGGTTTAAACCCAGTCAGGTAATTCGTTCGCTCACTTCCCCCCCCTTTCTTGCCCTCCCCCTGCTCCCAGAGGGATGGAGAGGAGAATCGAAAAGAATGCAACTCCCACGGGTTGAGATAAGAACAGTTTAGTAACTAAGGTATAACACAAATCACTACTGCTACCACCAATGATAATAATGATAAAGGAAATAACAAGGGAAGGGAATACAACACCTCACCACCAGCTGACCGATAACTCAGCCCCCAAGCCCGACCAAGCTCCGACCGATACGTCCTCCAACCCTGCAGTCTCTCAGCCCTTCCGGCTAACTCCCAGTTACATCCTGGGCATGACGTGCTGTGGTATGGAATACCTCTTTGGTCAGTTTGGGTCAGGTGTCCTGTCTCTGCTTCCTCCTGGCTTCCCCTCCCCCCTGGCAGAGCATGAGGCTCACAAAGTCCTTGGCCAAACCAAAACATCGCTATCAGTTCTGTTCCCAGGCCGAAAGTCAAAACACTGCACTGCACCAGCTACCAAGGAGGAGAAACATGATTGCTACTGCTGAACCCAGGACATTATCCACCCCTTATTCCATACCATTCACGTCATGCTCAGATCCCACATTTTCAATATACCGTCACTCTTATCTAAGTGCATGGACCAGTAGCTATAAAGCTGCTGAGTCCATCTGGTCCATGATGTCAGGCTCCATCTCTCGTACCAGTCTTCCAGAGCAGGAGAGACTGTGTGCAGTGTTCACACTTGTGAATAACCTGGGCAATAGTGTCCATTGCTAAGTCCACCCCTCGATCATGAGTCCATCTGTATGTTGCATCTCTGCTCTGATGGCCTGAAGTGCCATGGGCCCACCAGGCTTAAAATAATTCACTGTCCCCTTCAGCAGTTTCTGCAGCTTGTTGCTGGGGACTCCATACAGCTGCCTTCCATCTCCGATGCTTCCAAAGCACTGGAGGGGCCCAGTGGACTAGATACTTGCCCATACTGTCACACACACCCTGCCACTCATCACTGTCCAGCCTTGGGGAAAACCTCTTGGTCCCCCTATATTGTCGTCTAATCCCAGACAAGACCCAAACCTGACTCTGCTTAACTTTTGAGATCAGACAAAATGGTTGTGGGTAAAACACAGTCTGTATGTGTGCCAACATGCTGATCCCCATCACAATCAGCAGGCAGGTCCCAAGGATACCCAAAGGCCATTCAAAACCTTCAGAACTCTCAAACGATGCTGGTGTACTTGTCACTGGGGCTGGTGTAGCTGCTGTGCTTGCCGGCTCTCCCACCACCAGCTTCTCTTTTCCTGAGTCCAGCTCTTCCTCCTCTGCCTTGCTGGGAAATGCTGCGTGGTCTCCTGCGTCCTCCTGGGGCTCGGCGGGCGGCTGCCGGGGAATGCTCTTGGCCGTCGCGGGGCTCGGCTCGGCCACGGGGCTCGGCTCGGCCGCGGGGCTCGGCTCCTCCGCGGGGCTCGGCTCTTCCGCGGGGTTCGACTCCTCCACCGCCTTATCCCCCTGCTCGGCAGCCCCTTCCTTCTGCTCCTCGACCGCCCCGACCTCCTCCACCGGCAGCCGTCCCCTCGCGGCCTCCGGCCCCGCTCCCGCCGCCGCTTGGTGCCCGGGGTCGCTCTCCTGAGCCGCTTCAGCAGCCGCCGGCTCCCGGGGCCGCTCCCCCTCGGCTCCCCGCAGCCTCACGAAGATGGAGAGTAGGGTGAGGGCCAGGACGGTGAAGAGCAGCCGGACGGCCAGGTACAAGTCCACGGCCACGTCCGTCCCGCCCTGCTGCTGGAGCCCGCCCGTATTACAAGCCATTGCCATAAAGCACAGTGAGACAAGAACCTTAGCCCAAACCCCACACTTGATAAACACGAACACAGCAAATACCGGCTCTAAGTAAGTTACAACATTCTGAAGCTGTGAGATCAAGAGAAACAACTCTGAGAGCCAATAAATCAGCATTGTGAGGAGTGACTATTAATACAGTCAAATCTGTCGTTATCTCAACCCCTCGTGCCCCATGTTGGGCGCCAAAAAGGACTGTCGTGGTTTAAACCCAGTCAGGTAATTCGTTCGCTCACTTCCCCCCCCCTTTCTTGCCCTCCCCCTGCTCTCGGAGGGATGGAGAGGAGAATCGAAAAGAACGCAACTCCCACGGGTTGAGATAAGAACAGTTTAGTAACTAAGGTATAACACAAATCACTACTGCTACCACCAATGATAATAATGATAAAGGAAATACCAAGGGAAGAGAATACAACACCTCAGCACCAGCTGACCGATAACTCGGCCCCCAAGCCCGACCAAGCACCGACCGATACCTCCTCCAACCCTGCAGTCTCTCAGCCCTTCCGGCTAACTCCCAGTTACATCCTCGGCATGACGTGCTGTGGTATGGAATACCTCTTTGGTCAGTTTGGGTCAGGTGTCCTGTCTCTGCTTCCTCCTGGCTTCCCCTCCCCCCTGGCAGAGCATGAGGCTCACAAAGTCCTTGGCCAAACCAAAACATCGCTATCAGTTCTGTTCCCAGGCCGAAAGTCAAAACACTGCACTGCACCAGCTACCAAGGAGGAGAAACATGATTGC